ACCAGTGGGTCCCCCTGGCCTCCCCTGTGCTGAGCCCCACTGACAGCTACTTCTTTTTTCTTTTTCCTTTTTTTTTTTTTTTTTTTGGCCGCGCTACAGCATGTGGGATCTTAGTTCCCTGACCAGGGATCAAACTCGCGCCCCCTGCAGTGGAAGCTCGGAGTCAACCACTGGACGGCCAGGGAAGTCTCTGGCAGCTACTTCTTAGGTGTTGGCTTTCTGCAATATTGCTTGCTTTCTGTGGGGTCTTGGTCCATGCCTAAAACAGAGGTTACTGTACCATTTAGGGCCCTAAAATGATTTAATTAAGTCCTTGGAGTCCTTGTTACATGTGGACTCCTTCTGTGATGTTGGTAACTTTTAATTTTGAATTGCATTATTAAAATCAATTCATTTTAGAGCATTTGTTGCGGGGTGGGGGGTGGGGGTCCTGGTAGCTTGTTTCCAAACCTGACATTATGGCACCCAGTGGTTAATGACACTGTCCTAATCTTATTAAAAGCGAAAAGGAAATATATTTACATCTAAATTTTAAATATCGATTAATTTTTAAAAACACTGACATGAAGAATGCAAATTCAAATGTCCCAAGCTGGGTGAGGAGTAATTTCGGTCTTGTTAGCTTTTGACACAGTGACCCTGGATGAATTTGAGAAGCAGGTGGTTTCAGGCTCTGGGCTCCTAGAATCTGCTGACGCTCAGGAACTCTGTCAATTACCAAGAAAATTATCTCCAGATCAGTCCAGACTGGGGTTCGGATGTGACTGGCAAACTGCTCCTGGAGAGACAAATACTTGAGCAACAGGCTCCCTGGTTAGGCTCAGCCAGTGGGAGGTTCTGGGTTTGGGAGGTGGTGAGAGCCAGGGCATAACTAGGGCGGGGATGGGGGAGCACGTGGACAGTGGCTTGACTCCTCCAGGGTCCCAGTGTCCACAGAGCAGTCCTACCATGGTCTAGCTTTCCCTGGCTGACCTTGACCCTCTGGGGTCTGGTGACACCACTTCCTGCCTTTGACCTTTCCAGGCTCCCTCACCAACCCAATTCCCTGTACTAAATCTTCCCTACTCAAAAGACCTAGGTTGGTTTCTGTTCACTAAACCCTGACTTATAAATCCCCTTGTTTCCAGAAAGAATTTTTCCATGGCTTAAGAAGCTGCTGTCAGGGAGCCTTGAGACTTCCTATGAGGCTGTCCTAGAGGGGACCCAGATAAACACAGCCCATGTGACCTGCAGGGCAGAGAACGGAGCAAGGTCAGCGGCCCCTCCCACCCCATCCAGACCTCAAGCACTCCCTGTCACATCTACCCTCACTGTTGTCTAATGGTTTTCTCTATACTAGGTTCTATTTTTGTTCTCACTATAAAAATAATAGATGTTCCTTGTAGAAAAACAAACAGGAGAGATACATATTGCTCCCGGTTCGAACACCCTGAGACAGCTCCGGGGGTCTTGTGAAGTGTCACCCTGCATTGTATCCAAAGTAGCATGCAGGGTCCACTGCTGATTCATCTAACACCACTTCCCTGGCATTGAGGCAAATCTTTACCATTTTTGTTTTTTATAAATTTATTTAGCTTATTTATTTTTGGCTGCATTGGGTCTTCGTTGCTGCACGCGGGCTTTCTCTAGTCGCAGCAAGCGGGGGCTACCCTTTGTTGCGGTGCGCGGGCTTCTCATTGTGATGGCTTCTCTTGTGGAGCACAGGCTCTAGACAAGCGGGCTTCAGTAGTTGGGGCACGTGGGCTCAGTAGTTGTGGCTCGCAGGCTCTAGAGTGCAGGCTCAGTAGCTGTGGCTCACAGGCTTAGTTGCTCCACGGCATGTGGGATCTTCCCAGACCAGGGCTCGAAACCGTGTCGCCTGCATTGGCAGGCGGATTCTTAACCACTGCGCCACCAGGGAAGCCCTAATCTTTACCATTTTTTAAACTAAAACCATGGGGTTGATGATTGTCACAAGCTGTCGGGAGGTCCCCGAGCTGGGATGTGCCAAAGACCCTGCCCAGCTCCTGGCACAGCAAGTGTCCAGGAGAGATGCTGCTTTCGGCTGAGACTCCTGGGGGTGGAGGTAACCAGCCCCCAGCTCCTAAGCAAGAGTTCGGGGCACCCTGGAGATGCTGCGGGCTGGGGACTTGGGGCTGGCTGGGTTAGAATCCCCACCTGTCCCTCTCCTGTGTGGCCCCAACCCGGCCACTGTCCCTCTCTGAGCCTGTCGTTTCATATGTAAAGCTCAGACCATAACATCTGAGAATTTGTGTCAAGTGCTTGGCGCAGGGCTTAGCACACAGTAGGTGCTTAGTAAAGCTTTGCTAAGTGAGCACATGGATGAGTGCTGACTGTGTCCAGGCACTGCACCCCAGTGGCCTCTGACCGCACCCCAGGGTCACACTGGCCTCTGTGGGTGGCTGCTGGGGGGAGCCAGGTGGTCCTGCCTTCAAGGCTGGGAGGGGGAAGGAAGCGGGGGCAGGGACACAGGACAAGGCCTGGGGTGGCCACTCCCTTAGGAAGGTGGGGAAAGGGACAGAAAAGCCTTCGCACCTATTGAGCACCTACTGTATACCAGGTGCATTCCAGATGTGCTCTGATTTCGCCCTCACTGCAGCCCTGTGAGGCAGGTCGAATCAATCCCATTTTGGGGGGAGGAAACGGAGGCCCAGAGAGGGGCCTAACTTGCTCGAGGTCACCCGGCAGGTGGGCTGCGGAGCCAGGTTTGAATCTGTCAGCCGGTGACGTGGTGAGGTGCTCTTGGGCAGGTCTGAGGCTCTGTGAGCCAGGCTCACCAGGTGAGGGAGGGAATGATGAATGAATGAATGAAGGAATGATGCCTTAGCCCATGACCAGCTCGTCCTCCCCCACCTCTGCCCGAAGAGGGAGGCCAACAGCGACACTCATGAGGGTCTTTTCATCCCGTTCTCCAAACTAAAACCCAGAGGAGTTGCAGAAGAGCAGCGCCTGGCTGGGCAGATGTGTCCCCTCCAACCTCGGTGCTCCCCCCAACACCCGCCCCACCGGCTGACCCGGGACCTCGGCAGGGCCTGCCACCCGCCGCAGCTGGTTCTAAGAGTGGCTCTTAGTGGTACCCCACGCAACGTCCCCCATTTATCCCGAGCTCCCTGAGACAAGGATGTCACCCCTAGGTACCACGGAGCCCTTGGAGCTGCTTTTTTTTTTTTTTTAAATTAATTAATTTGGCTGCGTCGGTTCTTGGTTGCAGCACACGAGCTCTTCTTTGCGGTGCACGGGCTTCTCTCTAGTTGTGGCGCGTGGGCTTAGTTGCCCCACAGCGTGTGGGATCTTAGTTCCCCGACTGGGGATCGAACCCTCGTCCCCTGCATTGGAAGGCAGATTCTTAACCACTGGACCAGCAGGGAAGTCCTGCTCCTGGAGCTCTGAGGACCAACAAGAGGCATCCAAACCAGAAAGGGGAGAGGGCCGGTCCCTGCTCCTCCCCAAGGGGCAGTGCCCCCCTCAGACTGGCAAGCTTCACTCCCAGGCCAGGTTAGGACCCCTGTGTCAGGAGGACAGGCCTCTTTGGGGACCTCCCAGGCTGAATTCATGACAAGTTTGGGGTAACCCCTGCAGGAGGTATCCCCGGTCAGGGAGGGGTCCCTCAGGATCCTGCAATACCCCTCCCACCCACCATACCTCCCCAGGTGGGTCCCTGATTTGCTGTGTGGCCTTAGATCAGTGGCTGCCCCTCTCTGGACCTGGTTCCTGGCTGACCGCTGCCAGGCTCAGCTCCAGCCCAGCCCCGCCTGACACTGGCTCTGCCTCTGCCTGGCTCAGCTCCAGACAGCAGGGCAGGGCTGTCACATGCTGAGCCACATGACAGGCAGCGGCTGGGGGTTCCATTCCACACAGAGGACGGGACCCCTGCAGCCCCTTACCCCAGTCCCAAACAGCTGAAGCCTCCAGGGGCTACCAGAGCAGGTGTGGGCTGGGAGACCTCTCCTGCCCTCCCAGGTAGGCAGGGGCAGCGGGGAGGGCGGGGGCAGTGAGCAGCATCTCCCAGGTGCCCAGTCAGCCCAGAGGCCCTGGGCCAGCATCCCAGGCAAGACCTAGGGCACCAAGGTGGAAGGGCAGCAGCGGGCCCAGGGTGACAGGCATGGGGCGATAGCACAAAGGATGTTCCTGTCCCCCTACCTGTAACCTAATCGCCTGCCTGTCTGACACCAGCACCTGCCAGGGCATCATCCCCCTTTGTGCTGGCTCTGACAGGTGTGCCCGGGGTGGGGGCGGGGTGAGGCTGAGGGGCAGGGACACAGGAACCTCATGGCGACATTTATATCATGACGGCTCACCTAGAGGGCAGAGGGTGGCGCTCTTTCCAGGGAGGCAGGAGGGGACAGCAGGGGGTGGACCCAGCCCCGCTCTGGAGCAACAACTTTCTCATGTGGGTCCCAGCCTGCCACTCATGCCCTGTGCCCTCTCTCTGGACTTCCATTTCCTCATTGTAAAATGTCAGGTTGCAGGGTGACAGGTGCTGTGAGTGGGGTGCTGGATGACGTGGTGATGTTGGACACAGACGCGCCGAGGGCAGGGACGAAGCCTGCAGCAGGCAGGCCTGGGCCCTGGGATTGGATTTCTGGACTCCAGCTGTCTTTGGATCAGACCTCTTCATTTTGCAGATGGCAAACTGAGGCTCAGAGGGGCTGGCGGTGGGGGGGCTGGGTGTGGGGAGCAGGGCTTTCCCCCCTGCTACTCCAGGCCACAGCCCGCACCCCACACCGTAATTCCTGGGTCCACTACTCTGGACTCATCCTCCATCCTTCCCATCAGGGGTCGAGATGGACCCCTCAGCTCAGAGCTCCCTGGAGACCTGCTGTGTGGCCCTGGCCTGGTACTGGCCCTCTCTGCGCCCTGGCTCCTTCTCTGTGGTCCAGGAAAGGATCTAGAGGCCCCTGAGGGAAGTGATGGGGAAATCTCAGCCTGCAGCCTCCAGCCAGCCCAGAGTCAAAGTCAGGCACAAGGCCAGGACAGCCCCACCCCAGGGGCTGGCCCAGCCTTGGACATTTTATAACGGAAGGGCAGCTGGGTAGAGCAGGGCCAACCAGGAGGAAGGGCAGCTTCACAGGGCCTCAGGTACGGTGTTCTGCAGAGGCAGGGGATATAGCAGCGAGCAGTCAGGGCCAGGGACCCGCTGGCAGGTTGGCTTGGGCACTCTGGGTTGCCGTCAGTCCTGGAAAGCCTCGCCACTCACGGCCACGCACAGGGACTAGCTTTGTCTTCTCGGAGCTTCTCTGCTCGCCTGAGGAGAAAGGGGAAGGGGGAAGGGAGTTCCGTTTGCCCCAGCCTAAGAGAGCAAAGAGAGAGGCCAAGAGTCCCTGCTCTGGACCGGCCGCCCCAGGAAGGAATGCACCCCTGTCCCTGGGGGGGTGGTCAAGCATCCATTTGGCAACACATTTCCTGGGCAACTGCCACGCATGCCCGCTGCTGGGGTGGGCTATGCAGCGAGCGGTTCTGAGCGATCGTGTTCTTGGGAATGGACTCTGCCAGGGTCCAGGAAGGAGAGGCTTTGCCAGCGTCAGGCAGCCGGTGGCACAGCCTCTCCGTGTGGTGGGGCGGGGGTTGGCTTGGCCCACGGCCAAGGGTTGGTCCCCAGCTCCCCACACCCACCATGGAAGGGAGGGGGCCGCTCCCCAGAGTTTGGGAGACCTTGTAAAAATCCAGGTTAAGGCTACACGGGGCAGGGAGGGGAGATCAGATTGGAGACCCTAGGGTACTGGGACCTGCAGAGTCTTGGAGGCAGCCCCGTGCCGTCCACCTTCTGACAGCCTGATGGGGGTCCCCTGGGCCCTCAGACCACCATGTTCACCTCTGTCACTCTTCCCAACCCCGCATCCCTGCCCCCACCTGGGTCTCAAGTTGATTGCCTTGCCTCCCTGGTGCCCACACTGGGCCAAGGTCTCCTCGGGTTCCCACCCCAGGGTCTCCTCCCCGAGACCCCCCAGCACAGCTGCCCTTTGCAGTCTGAATAACCATCGTTCAGAGCCGTCCTCACTGAGCACTCACGGGGCTCGGCCCTGCACCAAGCACTTCACAGCACTATGGGGTACCTACAAGACACCATCCCCATTGCACAGATGGGAAGAGTGAGCCACAGAGAGGCCAAGCCACCTGCCCAAGGTCTCCTAGCTAATAAACAGAGTTGCTGGGATTTGGACCCAGGTCCTCAGGCCCCCGACACGTCATACAGAGGGTGCTCTTAGAAGGCCTGTGGTATAGACAGGGAAACCGAGGCAGAAAGGATGAGAGGGTGGGCAGAGGTGGGGGCTGGGAGGTGGCTCATCCGCAGGACCAGCCAGGGCCCAGGGACGGGGCTCGGGCAGCAGCTGTTTCTTGATGCTGATTTGGAGGCAGTAGCCCTGAGTGCCTGCCCCTTTTGTCTCCCTCCTTGATGCCACATGACCTGGGCCTCAGCTTCCTACAGGGGTGCCATCCAAAAGCTATGCTGCACTCACATCAGGCACCCATACTGGCACAGTGCCTGGCACAGTCAGTGCTTAGTCACTATTATTATTATTATTATTATTATTATTATAGAATCCCCAGGCTCATGGCCTTGAGGGAAGGTGGCTGGCCCTGGGGCCCGGGGAACCAGGCCCATCCCTTGTCACATCAAGTGACTTAGCAACTCCCAGGGAGGTGGGCTTAGGGCCCCCAGACCACCCGATGAAGGAACCCCCTCATTTGTGTGTCCACAGTGGCTGCTCAGCTCCCTTGTGAGGTCACAGGCCCGGGGTCCCCCCAGGCCCAAGGCAGCCTTGCACATCTGCTTACCTGGGTTGAGTCCAGTTCCCTGCCCTGCAGCAGTCACCCCTTTGGGCCTCGGTCCTGACCAAACTGCAATATGGTGTGAGCTGGCCTCAGTGTTGCCAGGAGAAGCTGCTGGAATGTTCCAAGCAGACCTCCACCCCCACAGAGCTCCCCACCCCACACTGTGCTCTGAGATGCCCTATTCAAGTGACGTGCCTTACATTTTTGTGGGTTCGTAGGCTCTTAGGAAAGTGCAAAGAACCTTGCGGAGGTGGGAGAGGGGCGGGTGTGGTTTGCCCTCAGCATCCATCAGCAGAAGTCTGAAGGTGAGAGAGGATGGGGGGAAGGAAGAGGGATAAATATTTGTTGAGTACTTGGTAACAATAACCACAGCTGACCATTACTAAGCTCTTACCATGCACACAATGGCCAGTGCTTCATGTGGTGGAACGGTAGCATCCCCTTTTTACAGGCATGGAAACTGAGGCAGGGAAAAGATGAGTGACTTGCCCAAGGTCACACAACTACAGAGGCAGGGTCAGGGTTTGAGCTCAGGTGAGCTCAGGTGGCGGCTTTAGGGGTCAGCAAGTCTCTTAGCTCTTGGGTCTCTGGCCAGTATGCCTTCCTCTCTGGAGGAGGGTTGGAGCTAGGGACAAGCCTGGAGTGACAGGGGCTCTGATGATGTCCCTGTTCTGCTACAGTCACCCTCTCTGGGGGATGTGGTGCCCGCCCTGTGCCCAAGACAACTGCCCCGTTTCTCCTGATCAGAGTAGGAGGCCTGTGGGGTCAGTTTGGCCCCCATCATGCCTATGGGGACAGCGTAGGGCTCCAGCAGGCTCTCAGCACAGAGTGCCCATCAGGGCAGGCCATCCTGTTGGCTGGAACAGCTCATGGAGTCCTCCAGAAAACTTAGGGCCGTGGTGGCAGTAGTCACTTAACAATAGCTGGCAACCCTGAGGGCACTGACGCCCTGTCCTGGGCTTAGAACTGGCCAGCATGGTCTCATCCTTGATAAACACCCATCAGGTGGTAGGTGGAAGGGTGACCTTAACAGATGAGGAGATTGGGGCACAAAGCCCCAAATGATAAGTTAAGTAGGCAAAGAGGGGTCCTGCTGCCCAATCCAGTGGGAGAGGAAAGAGAGGGATGGGGAGGCGGGGCAGGGAGGTGGACAGAAGGAAACCAGGTATTTATCACAAGGTATGACACAGTGCGGTGGGGAGCAGAGCCAAGGGCCCACTGTGAGAATGTGTAAGGGAGTAATCATGGTGGGCTGCCTGAAGGAGGCATCAGCCAAGCAGAGACCAGAAGAGAAGTGAGTCAGAGAGAGGAGGAAAGGGTCCCCACTCGTCCTTGGCACCAGGCCAAGGACTAAGTGCATCAGAGAGCTCCTCTGATGAACTTCAAGTAAGCAGGTGGGTGCCTGGGGGAATGTCAGAGCCCCTACCCTGCCTGCCAGCCCTGGCTGATGACAGCATGGAGGCCTGACTGCCCCCTCACCCCTCACCCCTCAGCATTCCCTGCTTCTCCAACACTGTGGCCGATGGGGCTGGGATGGGCAGCAGGGCCTCTGGGAGGTGGGGTTCTTGTTTCCCAGTCTTGTTGCGGAGCTGGGGCACAGGGAGAGGAGTCCTGTCACCCAGCCCTCTGAGCCACCACCAGCCAGCCTGGCCACCCTGGGCAGGGCCCCCAGGCTGGGGACAGTGGGAACAGAGCATTCGTACTGGGAATGTCCCAAAGTGGTGGTTGGCGGACTCCGCCTCTAGTTACCAAACTCCCCTGGTTACTCCACTCAGACCTGCTGGGGTGAGGGCTGTCCGTCTCCAGGAGGGGCACCGGAGTAGGGTGGGGGCCATGGCTTAGGGCTAATTTCCGGGTGGCAGGAAGAAGCGTGACCCCCTGGCTCCCTGCTCACTCTTAGGGGCCACGGAGTAGCTGTTCCCAAGCCCACACCCAGTCCCGTGACTGCCTTGGGGTCCAGAACCCTCCTGCCCACTGGTTAAGAGGTGTGGTCTGTAGCTCTGTCAGTGGGTGTCCAAGTGTGCCCCTTGTGTGTGTGTTTGTGTGTATGTGTAGGTGGGGCAGCCCTGGTCCCTGGGCTTACGTGTGAGTCCCCATGGGGGTGCCCGTGGGCCCATGCGGGTGCAGGCAGGGGCGGTGGGGGGCGCCTGGAGGTGGAGCGCCCCGACCCACGCTGCCCCGCCCGGCAGGATGGACCCCTTCGCGGACACGCTGCAGCGGCTGCGGGAGGCCTTCGACTCGGGGTGCACGCGGCCGGCCGAGTTCCGGGCTGCCCAGCTGAAGGGCCTGAGCCGCTTCCTGCAAGAGAACAAGCAGCTTCTGCAGGAGGCGCTGGCGCAGGACCTGCACAAGGTGGGTTGTGGGGGGACAGGCAGGGGTGGGAGGAGGAGGGCAGGGGTGGGGAGGTTGAGACAGGGGGGTGGGGACAGCTGCATCCTCCATGAAGGGGGAACTAAAAGCCGTCAAACCCCACCTCCTTTCCTGTGTCGTAACCTGCTCTTCTGCGTTCACCCATTCATTCATTTCTTCATTCACTCCACTATTTTTTTCTTTTTTTTTGGTCGTGCGGTGCAGCTTGCGGGATGTTAGTTCCCCGACCAGGGATTGAACCTGCGCCCTTGGCAGTGAGAGCGCGGAGTCCTAACCACTGGACCGCCAGGGAATTCCCCCACTCCACTACTATTTATTGAACATTTACTATGGGCCAGGTACTGTTGTAGGCTCTGGGGATACAACAAATAAAACAAAGTTCCTGTGTCCAGGGAGCTGGCCTCCTGGGGAGAGACACAACTAGACAGTAAATAAATACACAGCATGTTGGATGGTAATGAATGCCGTGGAGAGACACTCCCAGTGTGAAGGGGTGAGAGAGGGCCAGGGTCAGGGTGCGGTTTTGTATGTGGGGGTCAGGGAAGGTTTCTCTGAGACAGTGGCGTTTGAAGGAGGAGGGGGAAGGATCCACGTGGACAAGGGGGGAAACAGCAGAGGGCACAGCATGTGCAAAGGCCCTGAGGCAGGAGGTGCTTGGTGTATTTGTGCTTGAGGAGCAGCAAGGAGGCCAGAGTGGCTGAAGGGGAGTGGAAGAGGCAGAGGTATGCAAGGGATGAGGTCCAGGGAGCTGGGTCACACCGCTAGGGCCGCATGTGGAGGAATTCTGCTTCACTAGGTACCGTGGGCATCATGGCCTCTGTCCAAACCCTGGAGGCCTGGGGGCCCAGCCCCTCCCATCTCCAGCAGCAGCCACAGCAGGACCTCAAGAAATACACTTCCTTGTAGGCAGCCTTCCACCGTCTCAGCCAGCAGGGCCCACCCGTGTGGCTGCCACTGCCCTAGGACAACTGTCCAGGGGCTTCTTCTCTGGACAAAATGTCCCTTGAGCTTGCCACAAAGGCCACGGTGCCCAAGCTCACCCGTGACGCCCCACTGGCCCCTCACCACCTGTAACTCTCCAAGGCTGTGACTCTTTACCAGCTGGTGAGGTGCTGTTTTGATACTTAACACCTAGGACAGGCCCATGGTGCATATTGGCTGCCGGCCAGCCCCTGTGGTCACCACTTGTCCCCGGGGGGCTGCAGCAGTCCCACACTGGCTCATGCTGAGCGCTGAGCTCATCTTCTCCCCAAACCTCCTGAGCCCATGAGCAGGACCCTGGGGTCATCCCTTTCTGCCCTCCTGCCTCCCCTGCCTTTCCGGTGGGCCTGCTGGCTCCACCCACCTCATGAAAGAGATGCTGGCACTGGCAGGCCTGGGAGGCCCTCTGCAGCCTCCTTGGGCCCCACCTGATTTGCAGGCACCCAGCCAGGTGTCCAGAGCAGTCACAGACTTCGAGACTAGTATCTCGTGGCACCTGGGGTCATGGATCAGGGCACCTCCATTCACGGGCGCAGCAAAAGCTGGCCACAAGGACTTGTTCTGAGGACGTGGCCTCCTAGTGACGCCTACTCCCTTTCTCAGGGTCCTCAAACCTTCTATTTATCACCACGCTCCAGGACTGTAGCCAGGTGAGACCCGGGCTCCCTCGTCAGCCATTTCTGGAATCGTCTGCTACCCCATTTATGAAACCAGGGCAGCGGGTCTTACTCTCCTTGGCTCTCTGACACCAAAGGGGCCTGGCTTTGCCTCCCTGTGGGGAGTGTCCATTCACTGGACCTGGTCCAGGACAGAGGGGGCTCACACCCCCTACCCTGGCATGTCGGGCTCCCTGGGGACTGACACCCCACTGAGCCTCTGCCCTGCCCACCAGCTGGCCTGGCCTGGCCGCCTCCGTGAGACCTGACCCGATGGTCTGTCTGGTCCCTGTTCTCCCTATGGCTCAAATTTCACCTCCTGCCTGCAACCCTCAAGCCTCCAGGAGCCCGCACCCCACAAAGGAAGCAGCAGCCCAGAAAATCCAATCTGGTCCCGGCCTCTGGCCTGGTCCCTCCCTCTGGGCTCGGCCAGCCCTGTCCCCCACCCTCCCAGCAGGCAGCATCTGCCCTGTCTGACCTGCGCAAATCCTCCCATTTAACCCCCACCAGCCCTTCCAGGTAGAGGTGGTCACACCCAGTCACCCCCAGAGGAGACTCAGAGAGGGCATGTTCTTGCCTAAGGGCACAGAACCCGGGCTCAAAACAGCCTCTACTCTTCCAAACTCCTGGCATTCAGCAGGGTTCAGATTATCCCTCAAACAGGCCCAAACCTCAGTCAGGTCACAGGAGACCTCGCTGGGCAGGAGTGTGGGCTGTGGACACAGACATAGTAGAAGGCATGCCTGAAGCAGGCTCAGCCCCTAGAAGCGCTGGTGGGCGTGGCTTCTCCCCCCAAGGTCCCTGCGCCCTCCTCCTCCCCCCAAGGCTCAGCTCTGGCACTCCTGGGCCCATCGCCCTCTCCTCTGACAGGAAGGAACTTACACCATAATGGCTGAGTCTCAGGCATCAGGACAGCCTGGCTCTTGTGTCCTAGGCCATGGGCCTCCAGCTGCCTGCAGCCCACAGGCTGGGTCCCTCCTCCCTCGTGGGGGTGGGGCAGGCATGCCAGCCGGCATAGATCAGGACAAAAGCCCTATTGATTGTCTCCTTTTTCCGACTCCTGCCCTTGAAATCTGCCCTGGTCCCTGGGCTGTGGGAACTGATGGCAGAGACTCCTGTCCCCAGTGACCAGTCCCCAGTGACCCAGAGACACCTGTCCCCAGTGTCCCCTGCAGACTGACATCCACACAGCAGGCCACAGAGGGCCACACAGACAGTCCTGTTCAAACTTAAGTTAGAGCCTGTCCCTGCTCTGCTCAACAGTCCTCACCCCAGCTGCCTGGCCTCATCACCTCACCCACTCTTCTCCCTGCTAATCAGGAACATAGCAAGCCTGAACCCACCCCAGGGCCTTTGCACAGGACATACCATCTGCCTGGAATATTCTGCCTCCAGGTATCCATGGGCTCCCTCCCTCCCTTTCCTCACTGCTCAAATGTCACCCCATCCCAGAGGCTGGCACTGACCATCTTATATAAAATAGAGCAAAGGCACACACACACACACATGCGCACATGCACTCACACACACGCACACACACTCCAGCAGTCTCTATCCCTCTTACCCTGTTTCATCCTCCCATGGCGCTTGTCACGTCCTAATGGAGTAGTCAACGTTCTCATCACCACGTCGACCGCCCCCACAACGTCAGCTCCGTGGGGCAGGTTTTCTGTCTGTTTCAGTCACGGCTGCATCCCCAGCACGGAAACGGCACCCACGCACTCTAACCATTCAGTGAACATGCAGCGAATGAATGAATGAATGAGTGAATAAGACAGACCTTGCCTGGGGAGGCTTTGCCCACCCCAGGGCTCCGGCCACCTGCAGATCCTGGGTACCCTGGCCCAAGCCCTGCCCTTGCCCCTCCCCCTCCCCTGCAGTCAGCCTTCGAGTCAGAGGTGTCTGAAATCAGCATCAGCCAGAATGAGATTAACTTGGCCCTTAGGAACCTGCGGGCCTGGATGAAGGATGAGAAAGTGCCCACGAACCTGGTGAGTGACCCTGGGCGTCAGGGCCACAGGCAGCCTCTCTGGGTGGCAGGTGGTGCTGAGGGGCTGGGGTCTTGGCACCTCACCGTTCACCATCACCCTGGCCCCGACCCAGGCCACACAGCTGGACTCGGCCTTCATCCGGAAGGAGCCCTTCGGCCTGGTGCTCGTCATCGCCCCCTGGAACTACCCTCTGAACCTGAGCCTAGAGGCCCTGGTGGGCGCCCTCGCAGCAGGTGAGAGGGAACCACCACCTTCTCCCTCCAGCCCCCGCCCATCCCCCCAGCCTCACAGCCGCCCACAGAGCCAGGGAGGAGGGGGGAGCTGGCACCAGGTAGCTAAGAAGGCCTGGTTCCCATCTGGCCCACCATCCCCAGGCTGTGTGGCCTTGGGGCCGGCAGGGCACCTCTCTGAGCCATATTCTTCACCTGAAGATGGAGTGAGGCCGGCACCTGCCCTGCAGGTGTGAGGACTGAATGGAGACGGGGAGTGGCTACAACTGGCCCCCTCCTCTCCCCGCCCCGCCCCGCCCCGCCCCTCAGGCAACTGCGTGGTGCTGAAGCCCTCAGAGATCAGCAAGAGCACTGAGAAGGTCCTGGCCGAGGTGCTGCCCCATACCTGGACCAGGTGAGCAGGGCCAGGTATAGACCAAGCAGCTACACTGGGGCTGAGAAGGGCTAAGCAGGCCCCGCTGGGCCGGGCAGCCCTTGGCGTGGCTCCTCAGACAGGACCTGAATTCCAGCCTCACTCCTGCCTCCTCTGGGTTGTGTGGCCTTGGCCAGGTCACCGCCCCTCTCAGCCTGTTTCCCTCTGAGTGAAACAGAGGGGTGGGGCCTGTCCCCCGGGGGTCCCTGTCTGTCTCTGGTCGGCCCTGCTGGCCCAGCCCCGGCCTCAGTCCCAACCCCAAACCCACCAGGCCCCAACCTTACACCTGGTAGGCTGGGACTGCCTGTGCCCAGTGCCCCTGGGGAGCTCCCCGCTCCCCACTGCCCCCGACCCAGCCCACCTGGAGCCCGGGCACCAGGCAAGGGGGGAGCCGTCCCAGGCAGGCAGGCAGGTGCCCTCTGGGCTCTCAGGCTGGGATCCCAGAGGGAGCCCTCCGCCCATCTGGCTTGCAGAGCTGCTTTGCCGTGGTGCTGGGCGGGCCCCAGGAGACCGGGCAGCTACTGGAGCACAAGTTCGACTACATCTTCTTCACAGGTGAGGAGCCAGTCTGGAGGTTGTGCAGGATGGGAGAGGTGAGAAGCTTGCCCAGCCCCACCCTTAGGGGTCTTATCCCCAACTCTGAGAGAGGGACAGAAGCAGCCAGCCAGCCAGGGAGGATGCAGACTGGGGCAAGTGCTGTGTGGTGCTCTCGGCCCCAGGACGAGCTCGCTCCACTCCCCCTGAGCAGGCTGGGGAGCAGCCCCAGACCCCTGGGGACTCTTGGGAGGGATGGGCCCCATCCCAGAAACAGGCCTCTCCACCACTCACAATCTCACATGTCACAGCATCTGTCCTTGCTGAGCTCCCGCTGTGCCAGGCGCTCATTCCTGCGCCCACGGCCCTTCTGGAGGGCTGGACAGATGAGGGTTTGGGGGCTTGGGTGACAAAAAGATGCAGTGCCCACTGCACTAGCCAGGATTGGGGCAGGCTGTATTTTGCTCCCAGAGGTCACCTGCCATCACCCTGACATGTGCCCATGTGGTCCACACACCACCTAGCTTCAAGTGACCAGGATGGAGTTTCCAGAAGAGATGAAAGGGAGGAGGATACAGACAAGGCGAGGCCCTGGAGGAGGGAGGGGTGGACCTGCCTCCTGTGTTGCACACTTTGTCCCCATCAGAGCAGGGGACGTGCCATCTCTGCCTTTCTCCTCCCCGGACCCTGCCACGAGCCCAGGACAAGGCCTGCCAGCTGCCACCTTAACAGACAGGGAGGGCGACTGTGGGAGCAGAGGGGCCAGGGTCCTCAGCTGTTCCTACAGATTCCCCGGGGCCGGAAACTCCAGGAGAAGGAAGCCGGGGTGGGGGGTGGGGGGGCGCCTGACCACCCTCCACCATCACAGCCCGAAGCTCAGTGGACTCTGGGCCCTGGCCCCCCAGGACCAAGGGTGCAGAGGCAAGGCAGGCAGACGCCTGGAGGCCAGCTTGTACGCCAGGTCCCCGAGGCAGTCTGTGCAGAGGCCGATGGACCGTCCGAAGCTACTCCACCATAATCTCCTGACTTCTCCAGGCCTCAGTTTCCTTGTTGGTATGATAGGGGCCATCCCCAAGTCACAGGCCTGTCTTAAGGACAAATGAATGAATGGAAGCCTTTGTCACAGCACGTGGCCTGGGCAGCAGCCACTCACTCACTCACTCGCTCGGTGAATGTTTGCTGAGAGCGCAGACGGGCACCGCGAGGCCTTGGGATAAAGCAGGGCTAAAGCCTCCTACATTGTCACAGAGCCCGTGCAAAGGTGACCAGGGTGGAGGTGGGGAATTCAGTTGTGGGCGTAGTCAGGAAGGCGGGACAGACTAGGAGGTGTTTGAACAAAGATAGGAGGACCTAAGGGAGGAGCCGTGGTAGGGGGAGGCCCCTGGGGCCGGCTCAGCCGACAAGGGGGCCTGGATAGGAGGGAGCGAGGACAGGGAAGCAGGAGGAAGTGAGACCAGAGAGGTGACTGGGCTCTGGGCTCCCTCGGGCCGCGGTGGCTGGCGAGAAAGGCCAGGGTTATCACATCACGACAGGAATGGCAGCGTGGGGCCCTGGGCCAGGCGTGGGCAAGAGTGTGTCGAGGCCTGGGGGCGCTGTCAGGTGTGTTTTGGGGTGGCTGAGTGGAAGAGGGGACTGTGAGACCCAGGACACCAGCCCAGAGGAGAGGTGGGGACCTAGGGGAAGGGGGGGCAGACGGTGGGTGTGGAGGGCGCCACAGCTGCCAGATTAGGTCAGGGAGGGGAGACCCAAATGAGGACCAGCTAGAGCTGGAGCCGGGCCATAGGAGTTACTTTCAGAGGAGAGTGGAGAGTGGGGAGGGACTTAGGGCGGCAGGTTAGAAAGAGTCGCCTGCAGGCCCAGCTGGGATCAGAAGCAGGGAGACGGGGGCTCCTGGCTGTCTACCTGGGCAGATCAGGACAGGGAGCTGGGCCTGGCTTGCAGCTGTGGGCAGAGCTCCTCGGGGGGCTGGTGGGGGAGTGGGGGAGGAAGGGGAGGGGGGACGACCTGAAAAAGGTCCCAGTGCAGCAGCAACTGACAAGGAGAAGCCAGGTGAGGGCAACTCTCCCCCGCCCACCCCCACCCACCCCCACCCCGCCCTCCACTCTACTGCCTCTCCAGGGAGCCGCAGGGCAGGGAGTGAGCCCCCTTGAGGGGTCCCAGCCCTGGGCTGAGGCCATCCCACCTGGCCCAAGTGACCGAGAGCCACTCTGGTTCCTTCCACCCCAGGGAGCCCCCGAGTAGGCAAGATTGTCATGGCTGCTGCCGCCAAGCACCTGACGCCCGTCACGCTGGAGCTGGGGGGCAAGAACCCCTGCCACGTGGACGACAACTGCGACCCCCAGACCGTGGCCAACCGCGTGGCCTTCTTCCACTATTTCAACTCCGGCCAGACCTGCGTGGCCCCCGACTATGTCCTGTGCAGCCCCGAAATGCAGGCTCGACTGCTGCCCGCCCTGCAGAGCGCCACCACCCGCTTCTACGGCGAAGACCCCCAGAGCTCCCCAGACCTGGGCCGCGTCATCAGTGAGAAGAATTTCCTGCGGCTCCGGCGCCTGCTGAGCTGTGGCCGCGTGGCCATCGGGGGCCAGAGTGATGAAAGCGATCGCTACATCGGTGAGTCCCGCCCTCCCTGCCACTGTGCCCGACTCCCAGCCCACCCCAGCTAAGGCCCCTCCACGCTGGGGGCCACAGCTGGGCCCCGAGTCTGGGCCCAGCCTGTAACCTCGGGCCCTGAGGCTCCCCGACCCCACTGCTAGAGCCCAGCCTGGTCCACGGCTCTGGTGCCACGATTCTGTGACACCAGTGTTCCGCGTTGCCGTGTCTGAGCCTGTGACCCCACGACTCAGCCCTCTGGCCCAGGCTCTGGATTCTCCAAGCTCAGACCCCAGAGTTCTAGGGCTCAGGTTCCAAACTTCAGCCCCAAGATCTGCTGCTCCACGGGGCCATGACCCCAGGTCCTATGAGCCCACGATTCCTGGTTCTGAATTTCAACAGCCCGTCCTGAGCACCCGCTACGCTGTGAACAAAGCAGCCCCAGTCTCCCAGGCCGAACGGCTCAGAGGGTGACGCTGCTCCCCAGCAGGCTGGGACCCGGGACCTCAGGTCCGGTCACCCTCTGACTGTAAGACCAAGGCTGAGGGGCTCTCTGGGCCCCACGGGCCCCGGTCAGGCTGGGGAGCCCCTCAAGGTCACTTCCCGGGGGCTGTGGGGAGATCACCTTCCCCAGAACGTCCCTGAGCCTGGAGCCCTGGGTCCCGGGGCCCTGCCTGCCCGAGGCCCCACCCCTGGGGCTGAGCCGTGCCCTGTGCCCGGGCAGCTCCCATGGTGCTGGTGGGCGTGCAGGAGACGGAGCCGGTGATGCAGGAGGAGATCTTCGGGCCCATCCTGCCCATCATGAATGTGAGGAGCCTGGACAAGGCCATCGAGTTCATCCGCCGTCGGGAGAAGCCCCTGGCCCTGTACACCTTCTCCAACAGCAGCCAGGTGGGGCTGGACAGAGGTGGGAGCAGGTGGCAGCAGTGGAGGGTGGAGTGAGGTCAGCAGAGGGTGAGGTGGCACCAGGACCAGAGTGGACCAAGGGGCCTGGCAGGAGGGGCGGGCGTCCTGGTCCCTCGGGGACAGTCATAGGAGCTCTGGGACGGTGGCGCTATCTTGGCTCTGTCCCTCTCCTTTCTCCTCGGGTCAGCAGGGCCTCCTCCTGCCCTCCAATCTAGGCCACATTCTTCTGGGCCTTTAGTGGGCGGCTCCCCAGGGTCTTCTCTAGGGTCCAGTGTCCCCTCTAAGTCAGCCCCACCTCCATTCTTCTGCATCATCATGGCCTGGTGGCGGCAGTGTCCCCTTTCTCTGCCTGGCTCATAGAAGGCACACACGACGTGGGATGGCACGACTGGGGGAGGATGAATGACCAGGACATGCAGGCCCAAGCATGAGCCCTGGTCCCCTGCCCTTCCCTGGGATTTCTCTCAGTGGGATTTCTGAGTCGGCGGATGGGGGTCCACTCCACCCACCAGCAGGCAAGCCCCAACCTAGCTGTTACCTGAGGGTCACACGTTGCAACTAACTATAGCCAAGTTTTCGTGCAACTACTGTTTAGTGTCTACTAATCATTCCCCCCCCTTTCTTCTTCTTTTTTATAAATTTATTTATTTATTTTTGGTTGCACTGCGTCTTTGTTCCTGCGCGTGGGCTTTTCTCTAGTTGAGGCGAACGGGGGCTACTCTTCGTTGCAGTGCACAGGCTTCTCATTGCCGTGGCTTCTCTTGCTGCGGAGCACAGGCTCTAGGCGCACGGGCTTCAGTAGTTGTGGCAGTGGGCTCAGTAGTTGTGGCTCGCGGGCTCTAGAGCGCAGGCTCAGTAGTTGTGGGCTTAGTTGCTCCGCAGCATGTGGGATCTTCCCAGATCAGGGCTTGAACCCGTGTCCCCTGCATTGGCAGGCAGATTCTTAACCACTGCGCCACAAGGGAAGTCCCCCACGCCCTCATTCTTCAAATACACCTACAGGCTGAAGAGGAAAGGCCTTCATTAAGTCAAGCAAGGATCAAGTTCATGTTTCCAAAACCCAAATCTCAATGTCCTCCCTGTGCTGCACACAGGCCCCCCGCTGCGTCCCTGCCCCCCCTCACCCCACCCCTGGCCTCCCCACCTGCCCTTCACTCTGCCTGGGGGGCCCTCCTACTCATCTCTGCCCCGCCTTGAGACTCAGCAGGCACCTCACATCCCTCCTAGGAACGCCTCCCTGACTGCCCGCCCCTCACCCTGCACCCTCCACGTCCCCAGGAGGATGCTGGGTTTCCCATCTCCCCATCAGGCCTGAGTCTGTGTCCACAGTCACCTGCATGGGCCACAAGCAAGGGATGCTCAGGAAACACGTCTCCAGTTGGGGATGGGTGGCAGGCTGCTCCACAGCCACCCCCTCCAGCTCTCACGATGGCCTCAGACCCTGCAGTGGGTCCCAGGGCCCTGAGGGGTCTGGACAGAGCCCCCGCGGTCCCGGCAGCTCCGCCACCAGCCTCATAGCTGCTTCTCTCCCAGGTGGTCAAGCGGGTACTGGCCCAAACCAGCAGCGGGGGCTTCTGTGGGAACGACGGCTTCATGCACATGACTGTCGCCAGCCTGCCCTTCAGAGGAGTGGGTACGTGCCGGCAGAGCCATGCCCTCTTACCGTCATCTCTCACCCTGCTCCCCTCTGCAGAGTCTGAGGCGGAACCTTCCATACCTGTCTCTGCATTTACATATGTGGGTGGACCCACAGATACACAGTTTAGGGTTTTTTTAAACATCACTGTGATTGCTAGGGCTTAGCACACGCAGGGCGGCCTTGGGCCTTCTCTTTACTCCACAGTGAGGCTACATGCTGCTCCTTTAACGCCTCCTGTGTCCCCTCTGTCCCATGCTTGGCATGTCACACAGGAGACAGGGGCTCCTGCCGGTTCCCCCCTCTACCAAGCCCCAGCAGCCCCCAGTACCGCTGTGAAGTCCTGGCCTCTGAGGCTGGTCCCAGCAAGCCCGACGGCTGTGTGATGCGAGGCCACCACTTCCCCTCTCTGAGCCCACCTCCTCCTCAGGGGACGAGAGGGCCAGAGGCTTGCGGTCCCGCCACCTGCCCGCACCTGGCACTAGAGTAAATGACCAGCAGGTCCTGGCGGGCTGCCCTGGTGGGCCTGGACCCTCCCTGGGGAGCAGCTGGTGTCACAGGAGCACGGCAGGCTGAGATCGATGCTCCTGGTGGTGGAGGTCCAGGGCTGCGCACCGCTGCCATCCCCAGTTCTGGAACCCTCTTCCCCAGCACCCCCTCCTCAGGGAAGCGTGGGGCTCTGTCTGCGGGTGAATCTGACCCTGCTGCTCCCCTGGCAAAGCCTTCCACGGCTCCCAGGCCCTCAGACGGAGCCAGGGCTCTGACTCAGCTTCCTGAGGCCACCCTTCCTGGTCTGGCCACGGAGTCCTGCTCCCGCCCCTGCCCCGCTTCCCTGGTTGCTGCCCCAGACACACAGAGCTCTGCCCAAGTCCTGACACACCACGGTCACCCACCTCCAAGGCTCCCTGAGTTGTCCCCGAGCCTGGGCCCCTCTTGCCCCACACATCCACTTTATCTGGTCAACTCCACATCCCTCAGGCCCCACTCACTCAAGGAAGCCCTCCCGGATTACCCCTGATCCCACCAGGCTGGGTGCCCTGGACTTCCCACTGCCGGGTCCTTGACTGCCTCCCTACCTGGACATTGCGACTCATAACAACACAGCACTTACTGTATCTATGGGTCTGAACACTTGCTCAATCCCCGCAACTCTAGGAGGTGGGTGCCACTGTCACCCCATGTCACAGAGGAGACCAAGGCGAAATCACTTGCTTAAGGTGACATGGCTACTTCAGAGCTGGGATTCAACCCTGGGCAGCTGCCCCGGAATCCACTTTTTTTTTTTTTACTTTCCATCTTTCCTCTCTCTTTTTTTTCTAATTGAAAATGTGGTTGAGAGTCCGCCTGCCGATGCAGGGGACACGGGTTTGTGCCCCGGTCCGGGAGTATCCCACATGCCGCGGAGCGGCTGGGCCCGTGAGCCATGGCCGCTGAGCCTGCGCGTCCGGAGCCTGTGCTCCGCAGCGGGAGAGGCCACAACAGTGAGAGGCCCGCGTACTGCAAAAAAAAAAAAAAAAAGAAAATGTTGATCTACAATGTTGTGTTAGTTTCAGGTGTACAGCAGTGATTCAGTTATATATATATACACGCTCTTCTTTTCAGATTCTTTTCCATTATAGATTATTACAAGATATTGAATATAGTTCCCTGTGCCATACAGTAGGTCCTTGTTTATTTTATATAGTGTGTGTCTGTTAATCCCAAATTCCCAATACATCCCCCACCCCCCCCAGAATCCACTCTTGACCACTGTCTACCCACCGTGCCCCAGCACCTGGTGTCCGCAATATTTATTCGAGCGGGTGCTGGGGCCAGGCTCAGCGCTAAGCCCTTTACCCACAGCATCCCATGATTAGCCCACTTTACAGCTGGGGAAACCAAGGCTCGGGGGTGAAGTAGCCCACTCAGGTCATACTGTGTGACTGGCAGAGCCCAGGTCTGTCTGCCGCTCCTTGGCTGGCCACTGGGGGCCTGATTGCTGTGTTCCTTGTCACTGTACAGGCGCCAGTGGGATGGGCAGCTACCACGGCAAGTTCTCCTTCGACACCTTCTCCCACCCCCGCGCCTGCCTGCTGCGCCGCCCTGGGCTGGAGAAGGTCTACGCTGTCCGCTACCCGCCCCACACTCCACGCAACCTGAGGGTGCTGCTCGCAGCCATGGAGACCCGCAGCTGCAGCTGCGCCCTGCTCTGAGCCACCCTGCGCACAGGGGCTCCGAGCGTCCCTCCCAGCTCATGTCTACGAGTCCTCCGCTGCCGTGGCCACCTGAGGCTGGTGGAGACATGACCTGGGGTCCACGACACAGGGGGAAAACACCTGCCGGGGCCACGGCCCAGACCAGTGCTTGCCCTCCTCCCGCCTGGGGCTTCTCTTTTCAGGCCCTCAGCTGCCCCCCCAGCCAGGATGGGCCAAGGTTTGGGAGCATCGGAAACAGTGCAGTAACCTGCCCTCCCGCTCCCATGCTGGCCACCTGTGTTCCGGGAGACGAGGGAAGATGCGGGCACCTCTCAGGACAGAAGGTGCCCTTTCTGTGGAGGGTGCAGAAGGGGTCCTGGCATCCGGTCCGTGACACACTGCGGGCCTGCTGTGACCTGGGTCGTCCCTGCCCTCTCTGAGCCTGGTTCCCTATCTGTTGCACAGAGGAGGTGATTAACACCTCCTGAGATCATCGTGAGGATTAAATTTTGGAGCTTAATTGCCGACTCCAGGCTCCAGGCGTCCTGTCTCCTCGTTTGGGAGGGGGGAGGCTGCTTCCCTCTACTCTCTCCGCACCTCTCCCTCCAGGTCAGGTTGATGAGATGCCCACAGTAGGATCTCCCTTCCCTTCACCTCGGTCCTCTTAGGAGCTCTGAACTAGCTCCTGTCCCCCAAGTGGCTGGCCCTGGGCACCTTCCCCTCATCATGTCCCACACTGGACTCCTCCCCTTCCCTCTCCTGCTCATCCTCCTGGGCCCCCATGCCGTGGAGTGATCCCCCATCCACTCAGCCACAAAGCCAGACTCCCCGGCCTCCTGCTAGACACTCCCTTCTCACCTCCCAAGTCCCATCTTTAAGTAATTCTTGATGATTCTATAAAATACCACAGACTTCCCCAATCCACACACTAATCGCTGTGCCCCGGGTCGTCCATCACCTACCCTCTTTCCCCGGGGCCCAGCCCTTCTCCTCAGAGATCTTCCCAAAGCCCACTGGACCATACTAGCCCTCAGCCTGAACCCCTTCAGTGGTTCCCCTGGCTCACAAGTCTGGACCCATAACAATCCTTGGGAGGCTCTGCATAGCCCTGTACACGCTCCCCCCCACCCGCCACTGCCAACCCATCCTTGCCCTCTTCTAACGCACTGGATGTGTCCTCCTTCTCTGGTGGACCTCCGCACAGAAGCTGGGCATGCTCTCTGGCCCTTCTGGTTCTGCTCGACTCCTCCTTGTGCTCTGCTTGGATATCATCTCCTCCAGGAAGCCCTCCCTGACCACCTTCCACTCCCCCCAACACACAGGCGGCCTCAGGGGCTTTCTCAGTGTCCGCAGCCTCCGGGGTCCCTCCGCCACACAATTCACTGGGAGGAAACACGGGTTTGGGGGCTGTTGAGGGACGGGGCTCCCGGGTCATACAGATCTAGGAGTGGTTCAGGAGGCCGCACTTCTTAGATCTAAGGCTTAGGCCAAGTTACTACACAAGTCCGTGCCTCAGTTTCCCCAACTGTAAAGCGAAAATAATCGTTCCTCCCCACAGGGCTGCCGGGAGGATTAAATGAAGACGCCAGGATGAAGGTTTAGCATAGAGTAGGCATGGCTCCCGCGAGGAATCACCACAGGCTACGATTCTCATCACCGTTATCACACACGCCCCGCCGAGGCCGAGCGGCTGTCCTCCAGCCCAGGGCGCCGGGTCCGACATGAGCAGCAACCTTAAACCACGCCTCGGATGTCCCGCCTCCAAGAGCTCGGGAGTCCCGGCTCACTAGCTTCTCGCACCCAACCCGGCGACGCTCTACACCGCTTCAAGCGCCTGCCTGCTCCCCTAGCCAATCGGAGAAAAGATTTTTCGATCCCGCCTCTTTCCGCTGCGCCACCAGCCAATCAGGCCACACCATTAGAGTCCACGCCCAATGACAGCATCCCAGGATGTAGGCTCCGCCTCTCGACGGACAGGCCCCTCGGCCCTGGAAGGAGAGGCAGCGATTCAAGGTGGGTGTTCGGGGCTCAGGTGTTAAGGTCCAGCCTGGGCAGCGCGGCATCGGGGTCGAGTGTGCGGCCCCTGTTGGCTCCGCCGGCTCCGCGCCCGGGCTTTATCTCGGCCCGCTCAGAACCCGCGGCCTCTGTGTCCTTGAGCGTGCAGCGGGCGGGAAACCGGCACCGTCAGGGCGCATATGCACCTCCTGCGCCTGTCGGGTCAGAGGTCATGAGGAAGGTCGGGGAAGGAGCCGGGTTGGGTGCCTGGCCCTAAAGTCAGCGGTCAAAAGAAATGGTCCCGCTAGAGGTCACAGTTCACGAGAGGGGCACTTTTGGCCTCGGCTAAGTGCCAGGTTCTGGGCTAAACCCTTGGCATCTTCGAGCCTCCTCCATTCTCGTGACCTCCCATTTCACAAGTGAGAAAACCCAAGGTTACTTGGCAGGCTGGGAGACAGTTCCAGAAGGACCTTGATGCTGGGGAGAGGAATTTGATCTTGAGGGTTATTTAAGCCTTTAAAAGGTTCAGCAGGGGAGGGCTGGGGGTGTAAAGGGAGGGGTCTGGCCTGGGTTCACATCCTGGTCCCACCCCCTCAGTGTGTGACTTTGGGCAAGTCACTTAACATGACTGAGCTGTGGCTTCTCATCTGTGCCTCCCTCTGAGGTCATCATGTGGACAAAGTGACAGTGCGCGTGACCCCTAGCACAGTGCCTGGCACGGTGAGCTCTGAATAAACGCCGGTGGCAGGTGGCAGTGTTAACCTGGGTCAGGTTGGAGGCCGGGAGGAGCTGCACCTGGGAACAGGAAGCCCGTCTGTGCCTCTGACAGGAATGGGGGTGAGCCGGGACAAGCTGGCACAGTGGCACTGGGGTCAAGGGTCAAGGCTCCTGCAATGCTAGGGTTCCCGGGGGTGGGAGTGGGGAACCATGCCTGTCTGAGACCCACCTATGCCTCACTCTCTTCTTGCCCACAGATGCGCTGCCTGACCACGCCCATGCTGCTTCGGGCCCTGGCCCAGGCCGCACGTGCAGGTAGGACCAAGGGAGCCTTTCCTGGGTGTGAGGGGCCCAGCCTCCTAGCATGAGGTCGCATCTGCACAGCGTAACCCCTATCCTTGCAGGGCATCCCAGTGGCCGGAGCCTCCACAGAAGCACAGTGGCAGCCACCTATAGTGAGTCCCGGGGCGCCTCAAGCCTCAGGCTTTCTGATCATCGTCCTGCCAGAGGCAGGGGAGAAGGCCTGTGTTCTGGTCCTGGCTTTGCTGGGGGCTCGCCCTCTCGGAGCCTCAGTTTCCACTCTGTATAAAGAGGATGGTGATCAAGATTGAATATGATTCTTGGGGGCCGGGTCTGTCATTGCAGGGGGTGGAGGGCCTTCCATGTGGCTACACCGTGTGATCTCAGACCTTCCCCGTGTAGGACAAGGAGGGAGCTGCCAGGTGTGAGCCCTGGGAGCTGTGCCTCTTCATCAGGACCCCAGTACCCAAGCCCCTTCCAACCCCCATCAACTCCTGGCTTGGATGGCCACACAGGCACAGGGAGAAGCTGGCGAGGACTGCCCAGGGCCTGAGGCTGGCCTCAAGGGTGCTCACTGAGGCGGGGGAGGTTTGGTGAATGAACAAACCCCTGGGGGGCCCAGCTGTTGCACCTAGAAGGAGGCCAGGCCTCGTCTCCCTGAGCTGGAGTCCTTGGGGAGGGCCTGTGTGAGGCCTGCTGCCACGGCCTCTCTGCCCGCCTCCCCTGCAGAATATGTCAACATGCGGGAGCCCTCAATGGACATGAAGTCGGTGACTGACCGGGCAGCTCAGACCCTGCTGTGGACCGAGCTCATCCGAGGTGGGCCCTGGGGGGAGGGGGGAGGCCGGCTGGTCGGGGGCACAGATGTGTTAGGGAGGAGGGCCCCCTCCCACCGTGCCTGTGCCGCCCCCAGGCCTGGGCATGACCCTGAGCTACCTGTTCCGAGAGCCAGCCACCATCAACTACCCATTTGAGAAGGGCCCACTGAGCCCCCGCTTCCGCGGCGAGCATGCGCTGCGCCGGTACCCGTCCGGGGAGGAGCGCTGCATCGCCTGCAAGCTCTGCGAGGCCGTCTGCCCAGCCCAGGTGAGCCCCTGACCCCAACTGACCGCCCCCCGGCCCCTGCCGCTGGGAGAGGGAGGCCACAGCCTGCTGCAGAGAGAGTGAAGCGGGCAGCCCTGGGCCCGAACTCTGGGCCCCCTGCCGGGTGGGTGTCCCCGGAAAGTCCCTTTCCCGATCTGAGCCTCTTCCCCCCGTGAATGGGAGGCGACTCAGAGGCAGTGAGTCAGGGGAGGGAAACTTCCAGCCCTGAGCAGGCCACGTGACACACGTGGGTCCTGCCCTTGGGGGTCTGGTCGGGGGCGTGAAACCCAGGCCTCGAGCCACGAGGCGGCACCTGAGGGTTTCCACTTTTACCCGGATGCAGCAGCCGTTTCAGGAGCACTGCCTGTGTGCCTGCCACAGGACTGGACCCAGGGACACATGTGCCACAGCCGAGGCCCTCATTGCCCCCGGTTGCTGCTCCTTTGAGCCCCTGGCATCTGGTTCTGTCGGAGGGTCCCACACAGACTGTTAGTGCAGAAACAGACAGACACAGCTGGGGCTCTTGGGCTGGCGGATGTGCCCGGCAGGAGCCCAGCAGGCTCAGGGGTCCTCACGGTCCACACAGCGACCCCCTCCCAGCGGCCGCTCCAGGCCACATCTCTGTGACTCCGGATGGCTGCTGTCCACGACCTGCCTCATTTCCTGGACCACTCCCAGGTCCTGCAGGCCACGGGTTGTGGCCTTGCTGTCCCCAGTCTAGCCACCAACCTGGAGCACGTAGGAGAGCCCTGAAAAAATAATAACAGTGGTGGCATCCAGACAGTGAGTGCCGGCTGTGGACCAGGCACTGAGCCAAACTCATGACTCATCTCTGCAACAACTGTAGGAGGTAGAGGTTATTATCCCCATTTTTATAGGTGAGGAAACGGAGGCACAAAGAGATGAGGCTAATAGCCAAAGGTCCCACTATGAGTGGTGGGCATTACACTCCTGGGGACATCTGAGGGCCTTTGCCACATCCCTTTGAAGGTCCTCCCAGCTGTGGGAGGCCCCAGGCCACCCCTTCCCCCAGCTGGTGCAAGTGTACACCCAGGAAGTGAGAGTTAAGGACCTGTGTTTGAGTCTGGGCTCTGCGCCTCACTTACTGTGTGGCTTCGGGAAACCCCTCAACCTCTCTGAGCCTCAGTTTTCTCATCCATTAAATGGGGATAACTAGATGTAATTGGGAAGGTTGTTCAACATGCAACCAACAGTAATGGGGCATTTTTTTACCGGGTGGGACCCCCTTGGGTCTGCAGGTGCTATGGTGAACAAGGCAGGCAACGGCCCTCTCCTTGTGGGACTCACGTTCTCAGGCAGGAGGTGCTGGCCGTTAACAAACAAGAGAATGTCAGCTAGGGCAAGCGCTCAGAGGCCGACATCACAGCCGCGACGGGCGGCCTGTTAGGAGAGGGGTCAGCAAAGGTACACGCGGGCCGAGAGTGGATGACAGAGGGTCCGCTCTGTAGGCCCCGGGGGGCCAGTCCCGCAGGAGTGGGAATGAGCCGTGGCGGGGGCTGGATCCTGTGCCTGGGGCCAGCGTGGCTGGCAGGTGACAGTACCCTGTGCCACCCCCCAGGCCATCACCATTGAGGCTGAGCCTCGGGCCGATGGCAGCCGCCGGACCACACGTTACGACATTGACATGACCAAGTGTATCTACTGCGGCTTCTGCCAGGAGGCCTGCCCTGTGGATGCCATCGTTGAGGTGAGCGGGCCCCGCGGCGGGGGAGGCCGGGGCAGAAGCTCCTCGGAGGGGCCTGACGTGGCTGCGCCTGCTCCCCCGCTCGCAGGGCCCCAACTTTGAGTTCTCCACGGAGACGCACGAGGAGCTGCTCTACAACAAGGAGAAGCTGCTCAACAACGGGGACAAGTGGGAGGCCGAGATCGCCGCCAACATCCAGGCCGACTACCTCTACCGGTGACCGGCCCGCCGGCTGCCCCGAGGTCCCCTTCTGCCCAATAAAAGAGCTCTGACCTCCCCACCGCCTCTGTCATCAGTCCGCCGTCCAGGCCGAGACCGTCCGCGGCCTGACCACGGCCTGTGGCTTCCTCCATTGGACCAGGTCCTTGGACAGAGTCGCCCTCCTGTGCAACTCTGTGGGACCTGCCAGCCCTCCCCGTGGCTGGGCCCGGGCCCGCGGCAGTGTGTGGCCCACACATCTTCCTGGGCATGTTCCCCAAGGCTCCGCAGGCTGGAGGTCGGCCCAGGTCCACTGTTCCCATATTCCTGTGTGCCCAAGGGCTGGGGCTGGGGCTGGGGCCTGTCCTCTCCTGAGGGCCACCCACAGCTGAGACCCTAAGGACCTAGAGCCTCTCGCAAGCCCGTAGGCAGAAATACATCAAGAGCAGGAACTTGGAAAGGCCAGAGCATCCTTGCTGGGAGGCAGGGGAAGGCTGCTCGGGGGGGGGGGGTGACAGTCACGAGGGGGTGACCCAGGCCCTGCTGCCTGTGAGCTGGCTCTGCCTCTCCTCCAGCCACATCCGCTTTTCTCCCCAGCTTCCCCAGACCAGGCTGCTGGCATGGCTTCTGCCGCTCAGGACTTCCTGCTTTGCAGTCCCAGCCAAGTGACATGGTTCCTTCTGGGGCCACACGCAAGCCCAGTGGCAGCAGAGTAGCCAAAAACAGCCCCCTCTAACTTGGTGCTAAGAGGTGTGAGAGGATTTCAATTCATTCTCAGCAGTGAGGAAACTGGCTCAGAGGGGCGAAGTGTCTTGCTCAGGATCACACAGCACACATCAGATGAAAAAACTAATTCGGGCCTGAGAGATCTCGGAGTTCCCTTTCTCCATTATTTCCAAAAGTGCTTTTTACAAAACACTGATCTCCCAAGATGCTTCTTGGAAGGGTGTTCTAGGGACCAGTAAGTGTGGGAAATGCCCCAAGTGCCTCTCCCCTCTGGGCCAGGCACAGCATGATAGCACATTCAAGGCTCTGAGAAGGCCTGCAGCAAAGAAACCCAGATTACCCAGCTCATTACCAGGAAGCCCCTTTTCTCAGATCCCCTGCTGACACCTGGACCTACTTACCAGGCCAGGATGGGCCATCTCCTGATGCAGAAGTGGCCCAGGACTTGTGTGGGCTCCACCACTGGCCAAGGTTTTGGGGTCCTTTGAACCCACAAAATGGCACAGAGGTGAGAAGTGCAGGACCAGGAAGGAAGACTTGAGCCCGGGGAGTGTCCACGAGTCCAGCACCACTAGTCCTGCTGGCTGCTGGGGGCAGGAGCTCTCCAAAAACAAGGCCAGTTGTAAGAGGCAGGCTTGAAAATTCTAAATCGCCTCTCATTTTGCTTTTCCCACACATAACCAGCACTAGATGCTTGACGTGGAGCCTCTATCTGTACGCAGGTAAATAGAATACTTTCATTTAAAGTGGATGAGTCTAGGGACTTCCCTGGCGGTCCAGTGGTTAAGACTCCACACTTCCAGTGCAGGGGCTGTGGGTTCGATCCCTGGTTGGGGAACTAAAATTGCCCATGCCATGCAGCACAGCCGAAAAAATAAAAAATCAAATGGATGAGTGTATCCAGCTCCTGACTTGATTCTCTCCCTTACTGCTGGGTCAGAGTGCAGCTCTAACGCCATTTTGTAACATGATAGAGTTCCAGTTTGCCCTGAACAGGAAGTATTGACCCGAGGCCCCCACTGTTACTCAGTTTGGTTGTGTCGAGGTTACTCCTTGAAAGGAGCCCCTCCGTGCCCCAGAAAGTGTCTCCCACTTTGCTGAAGACACTAGCCTTGGCTGTGACTCAGTTGCCAGCGCCCAGCTCTGGGGGTCCGTTTGCCCACCCTCCCCCCCACCTCTCACAGGCCCTTGCCCTGTCGGGGTTCAAGAATCACCAGAGCTGAGGGGCCCCAACGGGTGCAGGCTTGGCCTGTCCAAAGTGCAGGCAGCTGGACAGTCGTGAGCCCCAGGTTGTGGGTGCTGCGATAGGACAAACTGCACGGAGCTCAGTAGCAGCAAGGTCACGGGGACACTTCCAGCCACAGGAGGAGTGACAGCCAGGGCAGAGCATTGCCCAGTGCCTGCTGGGTGCGGGTCCCAGGCCCTGGCCCTTGGTGTCCTGCTGCCATTGAGGAAAGAGGCCCAGAGAAGGGCAGCCACCCGCCCAAAGGCCCAGACCACTGGACCTGGAGTCCAAGGTGGTGGTCAGAAGCAGGAAGCTATAAGGATCTGTGTAACTGCGTGCGGCCTCACGCAAGGCGGAGGGGGTCCTAGAGGTGGGGACACGTAGGTGTTGGGCCCCAGGCCTGAGCATATTGGGGTCTAATCAACCCAGTGAGCCCTCTAGATGGTGGAGATCCCACCCTGTAGCCCCGGAGCTGGGCCTAGGCTGGGCATCTCCCCACATCCCGGCCACGTAGATGTGCGCGGTTGGTGCTGGTCAGTGTCTGCTCCAGCCTCCGGGCCTCCTCGCCCGTATTAGGCGGCCCACAGCTCCGAATGGTCTCCCAGCCTGGAGCGAGGAAGCGAGGCCGCCAGGCAATCCCAGCCCAGGGCCTGCCTCCGACCGGCGACCCAGCTCCCAGGACTCCGGGTGGGGGTTCGGGGAGGGCCAGGGGCGGAGCTTCCCTGGCTCCGCCCCTCCCGGCCCCGCCCGCCGCGGAAAGTGAGTTGCGTGGGCGCCGCGGCGGGGATCTCAGAGCTGGGAGTGCAGAGCTGCGCAGAGCAGCGCCGCGTGCAGCCGACCCGGGGGTAAGTGCCCCAGCTGGGGCTGCAGAGCCCCCAGTTCTGCCTACCACCCTCGCTTCCCACTGCCCCGGGAAGCGGGGGGTGTCGTGGTGCCCCAACCCAGCTGGGTCAGTAGAGGCAGCTCAATCGTCCGGCCCGCGGGTGTCAGCCGTTGCTGGGGGCCACAGAGGCGACTAAGAGGAGAAAGAAGAGGCGAACGGGGGTGTTAACAGCCTATAACAAACAAGTAGTATTGAGCTCAGCTGTGCCGGGCCAGGTGGCGCTCAGAGCTTTCTCTGCTGCATCTTCCTGGCAGGGAGGGACCCATTCTACAGATGAGGAAACTGAGGCCCACCCAACTAGGAAGAGGCGGAGCTAGAAGAGAGCGCACGCAGACCCTCGTCTCCAGCCCAGCTCGTCATGGCGGGCCAGGGGCTCAGAGGAGAGATCTGGTGGTTTTCTGGAGGAGTTGGCCTTAAGCCTCCAGCCTCCCAAGGGAGCAGGAGGAGAGGGGCACAGAGTGACTAGAGTCTGGACCCTGAAGGATGGAGGCACCTTCATTTGTTCTGTAAATGTCTCTGGGGTGGCCCCTGGCTCAGGAAGGGGTCAGGGAGGATGAGGGGGAGGGGATGAGACAGTGGAGGCCTGAAATGCCAGGGGAGGGATCTGCCCAGGTCTCTGCACCCCTGTGCTCACCATGGCTTGTCCCGTCCAAGGGACGTGCCCAGCCCGCAGGGCTGCTGCCTTGCCTGGATCCCCAGACCTACCTCCCTACAACCCCCGTTTGGCCAGCCCAGCCTTTTGGGGTACCTGGGGCAGAGAACAGCCCTCCCCTGAGCGCATACTGTGGGGTGGGACTTCCAAACCTGCAGCCCCAGGGCCTGGCTTCTGCCTGGCTCCGTCACCTGCTGACCCGTCTATAAAACAGGGCTACAGTGCCCCCTCCCCCAAGGATTGCTGTTAGATTTAAATGAGGTATTGTGGGCGAGGGAGTTACATGGGGGCCCTTGTTATTTTTATCTCCCCACCTAGGTCCTGTCTCTGGCGGGGTGGCCAAGTCCCATTCACCCAAAGAGGAAGTGGAGGCCCAGAGAGGGTGAGAGACTCCCCAAAGAACACACAGCTAATCACAGCTTGGTAGGGCTCAGAGCCTTGGTCCCTGGCCCTCTTGCCCACCCTTCCCTGTTCAGGGCCTGGTGCTTCCACAGCCCGCAGCTGTCTCTCCCCATTCTCTCTTGTATTCTCCCGGGGCTGGGGAAGGGGCTGCTTTTCCTTTTTTTTTTTTTTTTCTTTTACATTTAAGTAAACCAGACCCAGGAGAGGAAGTGACCAACTAGGCAGGCCCCAGCCCAGCCCAGACAGCAGGCAGGGTGTCAGATGTTCACCCTCTCAGCGGGGCTCTGGCCTGTTCCTGTCCCCTCCCCTGCCCCACTCAATTTGCGAGCTAAGGAAACTGAGTCCCACAGAGGGGCAGGGGCCGGCCCTGAGCCCCAAGGGCAGTGGCCATGGAGCCCTGGCTTGTGGGCTGGGCGTCTACAGGGCCCAGGGAGGCCACCCTGGCGCTCCCCCTGCCCTGCGGGCGGCGTTTAAGCAAAGGCCTGGCCAGGCCCTTCCTGCCCTTTTCAGTTTCCACAGTTTCACTTTTGTTGGTTTCGACACCTGGAGGGCTCCTCCCTCGGCCCCTACCAGCTCGGCTGCTGCCGGGCAGCCCGGGCCTCAGGGGAAGGTCCCGCTTCCTCAGCGCCCTCTGCCTGTCCTCTCTACCCTTCCTGAGTCCCAGAGGAGGCCCCCACCCCTCAGCGCCCACAGACCCGCAGGGAGGGAGGAGGGCCCTGGCTGCCTGTGGGGATGGGGCGGACCTCAGCCCTGCTGTTCCTGTCAAGGTTGCTCCCCAGGGTGGAAAGGCGAGGGCAGTCAGGTGGCCGGCGCTGGAGGTGGCCCTTGGCCTGGGGCCCCGAGGATGTGTAGGATCTCGGGTGAGGGCAGGTCACAGAGAGGGGACAGCAGGAGCAGGGGCCAGGTGTGAGAAGAGCCAGTGTCCCCAGGAGCCACTAGGGGTGGAGGGTAGGGGTCTCAGACGGGGCAGAGCCAGCTGGGAAGGAGCTTGACGTTGGACTGTGGGTCCGGCTGTAAGGTCAGCTCGCCGCTTACTTCCTGTGTGACCTCAGCACCCCGCTAAGCCATCCTGGGCCTCAGCCTCCCCATCTGTCAGATAGGGGTGGTAGCGGGACCTTGCAGGATCATGTGAACCCAGAATTCACACCTGGTGGGGAACTGCCTGGGACCCCACCCGCCTGAGCTCCCACC